CTTTATCCTCTGATTCTGTTTCCAGTTTATCTTCAGCAAACAGCAAACAATCAGGCAGTAATGAACATTCTTCCTCTTCCACGTCTTCACCCTCTTCATCGTCACTGCTGCTGCTCGTAGAACGTGAAACAATGCTCAACAAGGTTCGCGGCAAAGGCGCCAAAAAAGTGGTCAAAGAAGGAGGAAGTTCAGTGGCCAGCAACGAGGTAAATGACAGCAGGAGTCCTACAAGAGGTGATCATGGAAACAGTCGATTATCAACAGCCACTCGATCTCGTCGCCGTCAACAGCAAACATCACCCTCATCACACTCATCAACACCGTTGATCACCTCATCAATCAGCCTGCTGAACAGTGCCGTCGCCAAGCAGACGCCCAACTTTGTGCTGAAGCAACGGCGGAATGACAAACTCTTGCGTCTGAACGTTTCAACCACTTCGACGACGACGACCACTGAACTTCCACTGCCTTCATCTGAACATCCAATCACCACCACCGCCAACAACAGCACCAGCATCCTCAACAGCCTCGTCAAGGAGCTCAATCTGGCGCTCAAGGACCGCCTTCGTCAGCTGGAGAGCTACAACCAGACGGTGAGGCAGGCGCTGGTCAATTCCTCTCCGGAAATGGCAACTACCACAACAACAACCTCTACAAATGGACAGCCGGAAACGACGGTGGCACCTTTCATTACGACGATGCAAACAACGGCTGAAGCAGAAGCTTCACCGACGCTCAAAGATGACTCCAGTGAGTTGGCCTCAACTACCACTGTTGCTCCAGTAGTGGTGGCTTTGACCACCACTTCTTCTTCTTCTTCTGAAGAGGATGATGACGACAATAATGAAAAGCCTGTTAATATAGAAAGTATCACCACCACCACTACCACAACACCCCCCGAGATGACAACACTTTCATCAACAAACTCCAGTGATGAGTTCAGCGATGAGGAAGGTAGCAAAGAGGATGACGATGAGGTGATGAACTTAACGACCACGACTTCAATGGCCTCAACCATGACTACCACCTCCACCACTTCATCACTACTAACTTCCTTTTCTGAAGAAGAAGAAGATGATGATGATGAAACTACCAGTTCAGAGGAGGCCAACAACTCTATCACCACCACCACCACCACCTCTACAACAACTACTTCAGCACCAGAGACAACAACAAAGGCAACAGCAATCACAACAATTGCCACAACTCCAATTTCAACTACTACCACTACAACCACAAAGACAATAGCTCCTTCTTCTTCTACAGCAAAATCTTCCGCCAAAAAAGATTTGCGTAAAAAGGCGGCAAAGTCAGCAGCAGCAGCATCTTCTTCTAAACTCTCAGCTTCTAAATCATCAAAAAAGTCCAAAGTGAAAAGTGCAACACTTAAAAACAGCAGCATCAGCAGCAGCAAAAACAACCTAGATCGTTCCACTGCCTCTGCCTCCTCAACAGCAAAGGTGACCATCAAACTTCCAAAATCCACTACCACTACTACCACAACTTCTTCACAAAGTAAAAACTCAACAGAAAGCAGCAGCGAGCCCTCTTCATCCTCCTCATCTGCCCCAATTCAGCTGCGCATGAATGTCAGCCTGATAAACAGCAAAAAACGAAAGACTGCTGCAAGTGCAAGCAACGACAACAAAGCAAAGCAGAAAAAAAGTGGCAGCTTGAACTCAACTGGAAAGCAGCAGCCTCAAACGGTGTTAGAAAATACTAACAAGAAAAGCAGCAACATTTCTTCCTCCTCTTCAGCCTCTTCAAAGTTAAAACACACAAGCGACAACAGCAAAATGGACAAAAATTCTACACCAAAGAAAAAGGAACAGTTTTCAGTCGGCAGCAAATCTACCATTAATTCCACTTCAACCACTACCACCACAAGTCCCTCAACTTCCAAGTGGAACTCTGGACAGCTCATTTGGAGTCTCTGGAATCCGACCAGTGGCATGACGCCAGCAAAAACCTCTACTTCAACCTCAACTACAACTTCAAAACCAGCAGTAACAGCAAAGGCATCATCAACTGAGAAAAAACCACAGCCAGCAAACAGTAGCCACGACGTCCTCGAGCGTCGTCCGCCGGGGCCGCCAAAGATTCCCAACAACTTCGGCTTTGCCAATGCCATTCACCGTGACTCGCACATCTTTGACGAGGAGATCATCATTGACAGTGATGAGGGGGAGGAAGAGGGAGAGGTGGCGGGAGAGTTGTCGAAACAGCCCAAATCTTCTTCAACAAATCAGCAATCACCTAAAAACAACAGTCAAAAGATTGCGGGAGAAACACAGCAGCCTTCAACAAAACCAACAGCAAAAAGGGTTGAACGAAAGCGAGATTTTGATGACAATGACGACGAGGGCAACGGCGACGATGACGAAGACGATGACCTGGCGGACACGAATGTGCCCGGGACGCCGGGCGTCGATTACCCGATTCTGGGGCACATTCCCGAGACGGCCTTTGACTGCAGCCGTCAGCAGTACCCGGGCTTCTACTCGGACATGGAGGTGGGCTGCCAGGTGTACCACAGCTGCAGTCTGGCGTCCATTCCCAAGGCCACTTTTTCCTCTTCCTCTTCCTTTTCGGGAACTTCTACTGGTGGTGATCATCACCTTTCTTTTTCCTCTTCCTCTTTAAGTCCCATCATTATCAGCAGCAGCAGCAGCACTTCTGAGTCCAGTTCCAGCCCAGTTAGCCGAATACTAAGCAGTAGTGGTAGTGGCAGCTCTCGAAAGGCAAATATTCTCAACGGCGGCAAACACAGCTTCCTCTGCCCGAATGGGACCATCTTCTCGCAGGAGTACCTCATCTGCGACTGGTGGTACAATGTCAAGTGCGAGGAGTCGCCGAGGTTTTATCCGCTCAATCGGGACGTTTTTACTTCTGGTAATGGCGGAAGAGGAGGAGGAGGAGGAAGTGCTGTACATGCAGGCTCAGGCTCAGGCTCAGGCGGAAACGGAAGTGGAAATGACAAAGGCCTGGCATCTACTGCTTCCAGCTCTTCGCCAGTGTCTATGACCGCCACCTCTGCCGGAAATGATGATGATCACCATCACCAGCACCACCAGAAGATCATCAACAGCGGTCAGCTGCCGAGCCGAACTGACACACTGGCAAACACCTTGGTCGGCCGAGGAATCAGCTCATCACTTTCAGTCAGCTCTCACCAGGGAAGTCGCCCGTCGCTGCTCTTTTCATCGCCGCATTTTAGTAACAGTTTTCAGCATCACTAGAAAGAGATAAAAAGTGTTCTACTTTTTTCTACTTTCAAACAAACCGTGATTGTCATATTCATACAACAAAGTTTTTGCTTTTTCATTTTAAATACATTTTTTACCGATGATTTTATTTGGTCCCAAGTACACACACACAAGTCGAATCTCAGCCAATTTTCCCTACTATATTTTTGATAATAATGTACTTTAAGTTTTTAATTTTTATTATTTTTTGTTCTCAATACACCTTACGCACATTGCACTCGACCGCACCGTTAACACCAACATTTATTTTTTATTTTTATTTTGTATTTTCTCCAATTTGAATTTTTAGTTTATTACATTTTTCCCACATTTTTATCATCATCATCATCCCCAACTGCCATCATACTGCTGTTAAGAATATTTTCAATATTTCATTAGCTTTTCTGCTTTAATTCACTACTAATAAACTTTATTGATCAGTTGATTTGGGTACTGAAGACAAAACCAGTACAAAAAGTAATACTTTACCAATACACTACTACCACTATTACCAACACCAGCAGCAACAGCAAAGGAAAGCTTCAAATTGACTGTATTTTAGATTGACAAAATCAGCGGCAACAGCAGCCATCGATCAAGCTATCAAATTTCAGTGCACGCCCGCACCTAATTGGCTGCTAATGATTATAATGATGATGATAATGATAATGCACCAGCGCAACAGCTGACGCTGATTCCTCTTCTTCATCGTCTACCTCACGTACAATACCAAAAATACAGCATCAGATTAGCTGAGCTTGAACTAGTGACAACCACCTCTCTGAAACCTTCTTTTTTGGCTGATTCGTGATTGAAAAAAACAAATCACACAGTATTTTTTGGTGATAGCAGACAAAGCAGTTCAAAACAGATGCAGCAACAGCCATTGTCGCCAGCAAAACATAGTACTACCACAACTGAAGAAAAAATGGGCTAATCAAAGTTGGAGAAAATGTGTCAATTGGCAGTTGACATGCATCTCCGCTTGACACTATCACCATCANCAAAAATACAGCATCAGATTAGCTGAGCTTGAACTAGTGACAACCACCTCTCTGAAACCTTCTTTTTTGGCTGATTCGTGATTGAAAAAAACAAATCACACAGTATTTTTTGGTGATAGCAGACAAAGCAGTTCAAAACAGATGCAGCAACAGCCATTGTCGCCAGCAAAACATAGTACTACCACAACTGAAGAAAAAATGGGCTAATCAAAGTTGGAGAAAATGTGTCAATTGGCAGTTGACATGCATCTCCGCTTGACACTATCACCATCACCACCATCGTCATCATCATCATCATCACCTTCACCATCACTTTATCCATTGCTGCTGTTTCTGTCTGACATTGTCAACTTTTGTTGTCTGAAATTGTCTGTCTCTCTCTGTGACTTTTTGTGTGCAAATGTGCAAACAGCAAAAAAGTAATTGGCTGTCACCCCTCACTTGAAGCAAAAAAAGAAGCAGAAACAGCAGCAACAGCAACAGCAGTTCAGTTGCACTAAGCAAACTAGCAGTGGTGCTGCTGCAGCTGAATAAATAAGTAATGATCAAGTGATGAAGATGAAGAAAGAAAAATAAAAGAAAAGTGGATGAGGAGAGATGAGAGAGAAAGTGAGAGTTTTGGTTGCATTTTTTCGATTGTTCAGTTCATTTACAGTTTCAACATCACAACAAGTGTCTGTGTCTGTCTGTTTTTGCATTTTTTAATTTGTTTTTTGTGGAAAAATGAACAGATAAGTTTAAGACAATATCAACTTGGTTTTAAAAGTTTGCAAGAACATTTTTTGTTTAAATTTTTCAGTCAAATTTTTATAACGACAAATGCCGCATCATCAATATTTTCACTGTGTTATCATTAATTTAAATGATTTACAAAATCAATACCTCACAAATGATACAAACTTAAAACACAACGTTTAAATTACTAAAACACAACCCCCAAAAAATGGAAAACGAAGAAAAGGCGCCCATCAGTGCTCTCAGAGTAGCGTACACGTTGCTGATATTTTTCAACAACTTTGCCAGTGTAAGTGCAAATATTTTTTATTGTTAAAAATTTTCATAATTTTGAAACCATTTTATTGCATTAAATTATCAACAACATTCAACACACACTTTTTCATTAATTAAAAAAACCACAGGGCATCAGCCTGAACATCATCGGTGCAACGCTGGTGGACATGAGCTTTGTCTACCAGCTCTCCCTGGAGAAAATGTCCACCATCAACTTCTCCTTCTGCATTGGCTACATGATCGGCTCAGTAGGTACCTAAATGTAGAGGATAACATTTTCATATTTGTACAAAAACAAAAGCCAAAACCACTATTTTTTATTTTGTTTATATCATTTTTTCTCTGTTTTTTAGCCAGCTTTCTTAGTCGGTGGATCAACCGCCAGCTGCTGCTTTCATTCTCTGTGCTGCTGCAGGCACTGTTGCTCTTTTTCCTGCCGTTTTACGGCCACTACTGGCTTGCTTTTGCGATGGTGCTGCTGAGCAATGCCGGTTGCGGCGTCTGGGACAGCGCCACCAGTCTGTGGATCGTCGAGCTGTGGCCGGTGAGAAATTCGGCCGTCCTTCAGATCAACCAGTTTGCCTTTGGATTGGGGACCATTGTGGCTCCATTGATTGCCGCCCCCTTTGTCCACGGAACGGCCACCGAGCTAATGAGGATAGGATGGAGCGAATCGGGAGAAGAAAAGAATGAAACAGTTCCGCTGACGGTGGATGAGCGGATTGGCTTGTTGGCCATTCCTTTTGCCATTACGGGGGTGGTTCAAGCCGTGGGTAAGTGCTAAACTGACGATTTTGAAAACAAACAAATTAAAAACATTTTTTTGCTTAGTGCCCATCATCTTCTTTGTCATGTACTTCACCTGCCCCTATGTTCAGCCGTCAGCGAGGAAAGGCAAACAAATAAAAACAGAAGACAAGGATGAGGAGGAAGAGAAAAAAGAAAAAAGTGCTCAATCGGTGCCAGCAACAACATCATTATCACCCTCATCATCGCTCTCATTACCTTCATCACTGCCTTCATTACCTAATTCCAATCAGACCCAAAAGCCATCAAAAACCCATCCCTCAACTCAACCGAAAATCATTCCCTACCGGAAAACAAAAATCGGCCTGATGGGCCTCTGTCTGGGCATCTACATCGCCGCCGAGGTGGGCTTCCTCACCTTCTGCACCTCGATGTTCCAGTACCTGCCCATCGCCCTCTCCGCTTCAGAGGCGGCCCACGTCCAGTCGGTCCTCTCCACCACCTTCACCCTCGGCCGCCTGATCACCGCCCTCATCTCCTTGAAGGTGGCCATCGACGTCATCCTCGCCTATCACTTCCTCTTGCAGGTGGCCGCCCTCACCTTCTTCTACGCCTTCTGCCTGGACAGTCGTCCGCTGATCTACGCGGGCATGGCTTTTCTCGGCTACGCCTTCTCCGCCATCTGGCCGGCCATCTTCGGCTTCACCGAGCAGCACCTCGGCCTTACCGGTCGCATCTGCTCGCTGTACACCTTTTTGGTGGGCGTCAACGGTCTCATCACGCCCCTCATCCTCTCCTATGGTTTCCGGGAAAATCCGCTAGTGCTGGTGTACATCACCGCCAGTTGTGTAGTGATCAGCGCCACGCTCTTCACCACTGTACGGCTGTGGATTCTGCAGAACAATTATGCGGCCAGTAAGCGGGGGAGAAAAAGAAGTAAAGTTTTGAAGTTAGACAGCGGAAAAAAGGCGTTTAAAGACGTCAATGGAAATGCTGTTGCCGGCAAGGCAGCTGTGTGCTGATTTTAATCACAACTATTAAGTTTTTTTCGTAAGTTAAATGTGAATTTGTTTGTTTTTGTTTTAAAAAGTTTTTTATATTTTTCATTTGTATGCACTTTTCATTAATTTAATTTACATTTTTTCAAATCACCTCAATAATTAGGCCATTAAACTACAAATAAAAAATGCCACAAATTTTAACGCACAATTTTTAATTGTCATTTATTTTTTAAATTTCACTACAGTTTACAACATGAAACTGAACATTAGCAATCAAATAGATGCATAAACAAGATGTAAAGGAAAAAGAGAGTTTCACAGGATCGTATTATGGGCATCACTGTTTGCTAGAAACAAAAGTATTTTAATTTTTATGCACAAAATTAATCTGCAAGGTTTATTTGCGAAAAGAAAAACAAATCAGAATAAAAAAATCGGAGCAATAGTTTGGTGTGTGTCATTGCCAATCAGCAATTGGCCTTTATTTGTTTTTTACTTCTTTCCC